TAGACACAGGCCCAGTTTGCAGTGTGCACCAGGAGAACTTCTACTAATTGACATTGGTCTTATATTACGGAAAGACTCAAAAGAGTGAAAATCAGGTCTGACTGGAAAAAACAAAGTGGTCTTGCCATTATTAAGGCTGGGAAATGGGTACAGATAGAACATTCCACCCACAACAAAAAAAAATATGCTTTTTTTTAAAGCAGCCATAAGCAGTTATCAAGATAGACCATATCCTGGGTCATAAAGCAAACATTAACAAATTTAAAGAAATGGAACCATACAGAGTATGTTTTCTGGCAATGATGGAATCAAACTGGAATTTCAAAACATAAAAACNGACTTTCTGAGAAGCCCAGTTCCCTCTGTGCTTCTATGTTCTTTCCCTCAGTGTGTGTGTGGGGAGAATGGGTTGCACTATTTGTTCCCATCTCCTAATATCTGCACAATGTTTTGTATTTAACTGGAGAGTCATTCAGAGGGGGGAACCTGAGATAAGACCTCAAGAGAAGGAAAGTCTGCAGGTAGCTCTTGGCAGGCAGGCTTGTGTTTGTTTACTCCTGTCACTGGGCTGCTTTTCTATCAGGTAAGCTACTTACATTTCTGAGATGGAACTGTTAGAAAATGAAGAAAGAAAAGATCAGACTTGCATGAATTTAGTAGGTGTAATATTTTCCTCTACTTGAACAGAACTTATAATAAGTTCTGTGGAACTTTGTGGAACAATATGTATGTTAAGATTCACGATCATTGTGCTGTATTCAGCATCAAGGACCCTACACTACAAATTTATTGTAGAATTTGCATGTTAAAATATGCATACACAAGAAAAAATTCATAATTGTTTTTGTGACTTTTACTGAAGAAATTTTACTGCACACTATTTCATTTCTCATTTTACAGCTGTGAATTTAAAACCCCCCTCATATTGGAAAGCATGAAGAGTTAAGTAGTGGATTATTTATATGCACTAAAGTATTGTTTTAAAATTAGCTCAAGAGTTTAATTCTTTCACAAGTTTGGATATTTT